GAAACAGAAAACCCCGAGACCCAGGGCAGAGGTCATGGGCGAATGGCAGGAGTAAGAGGTGAGCCGTCCCATTAAGTCGGGAGGCCAGGCCAGGCTCTCCCCAGAAAGTGGCATTGAAACTGAGTTTGGATGGCTGATTTGTGGTCGGCTTCTATCTCTCATACCTCCTACAACATACCTACTTTCACTGCCTACAGAGTCACCACAATAATGCTTGTTTTGTGTATTTTTAATCATTTGAAAGTCACTTAGGGCTACCAAAAATAATTGCTTGATCCTATTTTAATTTACTGGCTGAAACTGAATGTAATAATTAAGCTTTGAGACTAAAGAAAATATTACATGGCCTTGACTCAGTTGGTTGGAGCATCATCGTCTTGTACACCAAAAGGTTGCAGGTTCTGTCCCCGGTCAGGGCGTGTACAGATGCAACCGATCAGTGTCTCTCTCTCCCATCGATGTTTCTCTCTCTCTCTAAGATCAATAAAAGCATATCCTAAAAAAAAAAAAAAAGAAAAAGAAAATATTATATGGCGAAGTCAGTAGTGTGACTCAGCACTGGTTATCCAACTAGAAAGCATTCTCAGGGTGGCCATGTGTAGGTTAAAAATATACTCTAAGTTGGATGGCAGCAGACCATCGGGAAATCCACTCCCCATCTGTGCCTCAAATGCCCTGGAAATGATCAGGCTGTTGTAAGAATGAAGGGTCAGCGACAGTCTCCCCACGGACTACCTCGCTCTCTTGCTTCTCTGTGCTGAGTACCCGGCACAAACTGTTCTTACCAGGAACATAAACGCCAGCCCCAGCCCTGCGGCTCGGCACGCACTGCCCCGGCCGCCAGCCTCTTTGCTCCCAGGCACCCTGGTGAGGGCCGCGCTGGGAGCTCGGCATCGCCGTCGCTCCGAAGGGTGTCCTCACACTGTCGATTCTGCATCGGAGGAGAAACTTGACGCCCAGGACGTGCTTTAAGGGTAACGTAAAAGCACCGATGGCCATTTCTGACCTGATTTTTTTTTTTTTTAATATATCTTTTATTGATTTCAGAGAGAGGAAAGGAGGATAGAGAGAGATAGAAACATCAATGATGAGAGAGTCATTGATCAAGCCCGCAACCTGGGCATGTGCCCTGACCAGGAATCGAACCCCGATCACCTAGATCCTAGGTCGATGCTCAACCGCTGAGCCACGCCCGGCTGGGCATTTTTCTGACCTGATTAAAAAAAATAAAAATAAAATAAAAAGCTGTCATGTTAGTCAATGGAAAGGAAAAGAAAAAGAGATGCATGGCCACCCCCACCACCGTCATTCATAGGAGCCTGTACACCGCCTGCGTCATCGGCACCCCGGTGCCGCCTCCAGTGGGGAAAGCAGGGACCTTGGCACCTCGAAAGGGAGAGGAATGGCCACCCTTTATCTCTTCTTTGCTCAGCTTGGCTGAGCACACGCCACGGAATCTTTGTATCAGGACAGAACCCCCCCGCCGGTGCCTTCGCTTCGGCCCGGGGGCCGCGTCGGGACCCACTGCCGTCCGCGGGCATCGCTGGGCCCCTCCCCTTGTCTGCCGCCTCCATTCTCCTGCAGCTGCCCTTCGTCAACCCAGCAACAAGCTTGCCAGCTGCCAAAGCCAGAGGTCTCACCCAGGAAGCCCAGGAGAAGCGGCAGCTCCTCCGTGTGCCCGCCACCGAGCTAGGCACAGGTTTTTCGGCCTTTTTAGTCCTCAGGGCGTGGGCGCTGTGCCCACCTTCTAAAGAATTGTCCTTGATTCCCGGCTCTCAGGCTGCTTCCATCTCTGTCAGGGCCTCTCACTGACTCTCCGTCCTGCCCCTGCCTGTAAATATTCTCTTTCCCTGAGGGGTGGTTCTTGGACCTCCTTTGACTCACTCCTTGAGCCAATCCCTCTGCTACCATCTCCTCAGCCACCCCCTCTATGTGGATGGATTTCCAGATCTGAGATATATATATTTATTAATATAATCCATCCATTTTGTATATATATATATAATATATATATAAATTTTTTTTAATTTTAGAGAAAGGGGAAGGGAGAGAGAGAGAAACATCAATGTGAGAGAGAAACTTTGATGGGTTGCCTCCTGCATGCACCCTGACCAGGGATCAAACCAACAACCTGGGCATGTGCCCTGGCCGGGGCTCGAACCGGAGACCTTTCAGTACACGGGATGACACTCACCCAACTGAGCCCCTCCAGCCAGGGCTCCAGATCTGATTCTTATTTCTAATTTCCTCCTGGACATCTCCACCTGATGATCAAACTGAGCACATCAACAGGATTTAACGCAAAAGCGTGCTCCCCTCCCGTGTTCCTTATCTCAGCAAATGACCTTTTTACCTGTGACATCCTCCCGCCCACTCATCTCCTGGCAGATCAGTTAGCAGATCTTCTCGAGTCTTCCTGATCCGAATTATGGCCCCGGCGCGTTCTCCAGCTCCTCTACTTCTCCCCGGTGCTTGGGGTCTCTCGTTGGGATTTGCACCACAGTTTCCTGCCTCCCTGCACTCAGCCTCTCCTTGTTCCTGTCCATCCAACCACTGGAGCTATCTCCCTGCAGCACAGATTTGACTGTCACTCCCTCCTTAAAAGCTGCCGGTGGGTCCCAGCTCAGCAGAGCAAGTCACAGTCTTCCAGTCCTACTGCACCAGCCTCATCTCCCACCAGTCGCCCACACCCACCACATTCTTTCTGATTTCCAGGACTGTGTGTATGCGTATGTTGCTTCTGCTGCTAAAGCAGCCTCTTTTGTCTTCTTTTGCCACCTGGAAAATTCCTATTTGTCTTTTAAGAACAAGTTCAATCACCCCTGGCAGGCAATTAGTGTTTGTTGAGTGAATGAATGAGTGAGTGAATGAAAGAAGACTTGCCCCACTCTCTCAGGCAAAATGAGGCTCTCCCTGCTCTGGAGACACTGTTCATATCTCTGCCACATTAGTGGCTGTTTTGATGGTAGCTGTTCATTGTACCAGACCAGGCCAGGAATGTGCTCCTGTGCCTCTCCCTCTCCCAGGGCGGACATCATCCCCAGCCCTCTTCCCCACCGAGCCCAGACAGGCTCAGGGTCCTTCTCAACACAGCCCTTCAGACAGCCCTTGTCAGCAGACGGCACACAGTTTGAAGTCTGTTTGACGTCCCCTGAAGTAGACTCTGAGTTTTTCCAGCAGTGAGCTCAGTGAGCTGCCTAATATACCACTCAACTGCTAAAATGAATGAGAAATGGGTTTTTCTTGTTTTAATTTTTAATTTGGGGGGGTGGTTCTTAATTGCTAAATAAATGTTATTTTAACCTTATGTTAGCTAAATATTGTTTCATGTTACAAATATATCTGTTCAGGAGAATATATTCATGGCAAGAGATGAGATAACTGTTTTGTTATAATCCATTGTTACTTTTTGCAAAGACTTCTTCACAGTCACACGTTCAGTCCACCAAACCACTGCGTGTGCCTGCCACGGTCCTCTCTTTCCAGAGTTCAGCCCACCACATTGCCTTAAAATCAGTGCACTGCATGTCATTTCTTCTAGCCTTGCCTTTGATTTATCTTGCACATGATTAAGAGTTGGTTGGATAAAACATTAAAAAGATAAAAGTATCTAACCTTACATTCCAGTTTCATAATATCTCTTTTTGGCAATCACAAGAGAAAACTGGTGAGTCTGGGAGAAAGGGGCGCCCTAGGACACTGCTGGTGGGAATGCAGACTGGTGCAGCCGCTATGGAAAAAAGTATGGAGTTTCCTCAAAAAATTATAAATGGACCTGCCATTTGACCCAGTCAGTGATCCCACTTCTAGGAATATTTCCTAAGAATCCTGAAACACCAGTCAGAAAGAATATATGCACCCCTTTGTTCACAGCAGCGCAATTCACTATAGCTAAGACCTGGAAACAGCCCAAGTGCCCATCAGTAGATGAGTGGATAAAAAAGCTGTGGGACATTTACACAGTGGAAAACTATGCAGCTATTAAAAAAGAAGGGTCTTTTTATCCTTTGGGACAGCATGGAGGGAACTGAAGAGTATTATGCTAAGTAAAATAAGCCAGAGAAAGACAAACATCACATGATCTCACTTAGTGTGGAATCTAATGAACAAAATAAATTGACAAACAAAATAGGTCCAGAGATACAGAAGCATGGAACAGACTGAGGGATCTCAGAGGGAAAGGGGGAGGGGGGCAGGAATCGATTAACCAAATAACTTTCATGCATATATGCATAACCCAGGGACCCAGACCGTAGTGTCATGAAGGCCTGGGATGGGGCAGGAGCTGGGAGGAGGGGGGAATGGGGG